TGTCTGCAGCGTCTTTCAGCTCGGTTGCACCACACATGCGCTTCAAAACACACATTCACTGCATTCCGAGTCAAACTGAGCTTTGTGTCGGAGACAGCGAGCAGAGACCAGGAGAGCGGCTTTAATCAGACACAGATGACCTGGCTTGCCTCATGTGATAAATGCAGCCAAGATGGAAAAAGAGAAAAAAAATAGGAGTTGACACTTTTAAAGTCAGAAGTGAAAAGTGAAAAAGTCTGGTACAAGCAGTTGAAGATTTAAAGGGTTAGATCAAAGCTAAGAGCCTCACACTGAGGGGTTGCCAGGTCTTACCCTATCACCTGCTTTTTTAGTCAACTTCATCTTCTCATCCCTGATTCTGAATGTATTAATGTATCAGTCAGCTCAAAGAGACCATGGTGCAGAGCGGGGAAGGACATGACTTGAGGAAATAGGACAGTGGGCCAGGGGTGGAGAGATGTGTAGCTTATCAGCTGATCCCAGGGGTTGTACAGTTTGTGTGGAGGAAAAAAAAAACCATGGGACAGATATAGAACAAGGTTAAAGGAGGACAGGTTGTGGATGCTCTCAGGCCATTCGCTCCCCTCCTCCAATATTTTACCTCATTCTTCCTCTCAGGACTGTGAGGCCTCATTGCCGCTACAAGCTGAAACAAGGAGAGTGATTCAGGCCCTCAGTGGGAAAGTTGTGAATTGTTGCCAAAGATATCATTCTTCAGACAGGGTGTGGCCTTTCGCTGCCTGCTTTTCCTCATACTACTAGTCTAACTCTCAAACCTCCCACCTGGGTCCTGCAGTTCTCACTCAGCTTCACACCAACATTTACTGAGTCATGAACCCTGGTTGGCACAAGATGTTGGATGTTCTCCACCCCAACGAAGCTGGAATGCTGATCAGTCCATTTAGCTCGTGGCGTCCCCTGTGCAGATGCTCCTCACAGAAACCAACCTGCAACTTTGGTGAGCGGAAAAGACTGGTCTGTCAGAGACTGAGGTTCCTCCGCTGACCCAGTCCACAAATGATCAGTTCCACATTGATCTTTTGAAACATCCTTGTAAAAATAACTTGTAAATTCATGAGAGATTTTCAGGCAGTTCATTCCCAGGAATAAAATTAACTGTCAGTGTTACACGTCTGATAATATGCTTCAACGAAATAGTTTACCAAAGGTTATTTTTTACTGCTTATGCTTTCATTGTTTTATTTATTCATTTGTGTCACTGTAAATTTCGACATCTTTACTTTTAACCTTGTTTTACATGATATAGCCATGTGGCAGAGCCATGACACCAAAATAATCCAGAAAATGCGGTTTCTCTATCAATTTGTCTTCCAAGGTTTTAAACAAGTACATAAATGAAATGAATGAATGTAACTACTAACTACTGAAGAAGAATTCTGGTGTCTTCAACCTGGGCCCTATGTTTAAATGAATGATACTTCCAAAAAAATGAAAACGGTCAAGAAGATTGTCTCTGACACACGACACAACTACTGTGTAATCTTGGGTTGTTGCAGGCAGACAGAGTTGGACATACGAGTGAGAGAGCTGAAGAGAGCAGTTGGGATTTTACTGAAAGGCAGAATAGTTTTCTGCCGTGGACAATGTCAGTGAGGCATTTGGTTTCGAAGGTCATCCCAACTTGCTTGAGCTGGAGTATTCGGATGAGGAACTGCAACAAACTGACGAGCAAAGGAGCAAAGGAGCAAACGAGGCAACAAGCAGAAAAAGGACAACTAGCTGCTGCATAGCTGAGAGTGAGACGTCTCTTTGAGCGAGACATGTTCATTGTTGCCAGACTCTTTTTTTAAACCCAGAACAATTTTAGTCCTTCAATGGTTAAAAAAAAAAAACTTTTAGTGGATATTTCAAGGACTTTCACACATATTATTGTAGTACTTGATAATAGACAATGATAGTGATCATTTCTCTGCAATCAGTGTTATACATCAATGTACTGTGGGAAATGGATGGACAGACAGTGGGGTAGGTAGTGCAACCTCAGTCTCAGCCTATTGTCATAAATGACAATAGTACTTAATTATAATGGTCTCTTTTCTCCTATGCACACTCTTGTTCTTTAAGCTTGTTTTTCCTTTGGGGCAGTAAAGTCAGACTGATAAGGCTATTATCTATTGTTAGATAATTTTTTTGCATCACTTCCATCATAAATCTCCAAAATCAGGTGTGAAAGCCAATCAAATGCATCTCTGTCATCTCCGGTCACAATTCATGGGCAACTTCGTCTTGGCAGCGTGAAAAATTCACGGGAATGTGTTTCGCAGTCAAGGATTGAGGACATCCTACACATTGCAAATGTTCATCAAATACTGACAGCTTCTTCCTGCGCAGAAAATACAAGCTCATTATGCTGGGGAGAAAAAACATCAACAACAGCCACAGAACTGTGGTTGTTACGTAAGCTCAATCAAATTGATCCTATGCGGATCAACGTTTTGGGCTCGAGTTGTAGTGACATGGATGAAAATGCAGGCATATTAATGTGTAAGTGCTTGCAGAGGGTAAATCATTGCTGTAGTAAATGCTTGTTGTTTAATATCACTGTGCATGACTCTAATTTCCTTGATATCATCAGAGATTTCTAGGATAATGTCCAGAATATTTAGCCTCAGCTGTTCCCCTTACAATTGTTATTTCTGTAATTAAGTAAGTTATCAACAAAAAAGCTCGATCGCAAAAATCTGCAATATTTTTACATCTCACTCTAAAAGACACTGTCCCAGGTAAACATGAATAAGGAGGCGAGTCACAGATTCTACTGTTAAATGTGTGAAATATATTATAACTATGCAGCAAGACAATTCTAATGATTTTTATGTAAATAGATCATAAATAGGCCACTGAATGCATTTTTAGCTGCATTGAATCAGAATCAGTCACCACATGTTAGATTATGACCGAGTCATCCTTAGATTCTGGATGGTCCAATGGTGATGATCAATTTATGAGCTGAAACAATTAGTTGATTAATAGTCAGTTAAATATAAAAGAAATGTGACAATGATGGGCTCTTTTAGGTTTTTATTTTCATGTTTTATTCATATCAATTACCTTGATTAACAAATAATGCAAATAATTAATATATGCAGTCCTATCTATCTATCTATCCATCTATCTATCCATCTATCCATCTATCCATCTATGAAGGGGTGGATATTCTTACAATATGTTTGAAGCAGTGAGAGATTGAGGTGAGTTGGGTGGAGGAGGGGTGGACCTCTGAGGCTTTGGAGCCAATTTGAGGACCTTGTGATGCAAAACCAGTCCTCGGCAACAGACAGTTCCCATGGCAACGGTGAGCTGCCAAAGTTCCTTGTTGACAAATGACAGCTCCCCTCTCCTCAGCACTCGCCCGGTGATGTGTGTTTGTGTGTGTGTGTGTGTGTATGTGTGCGTTGGCAAGTACCCATCTTTGCCTTATGTACAGAGGGACAGACAGACACAAAAAGAACATTGTTTTCTGTATGCAGACATGCACACGGTATTCAAACACACACACATGCACGTCTCTCTATAGTTGTGAGGACACTCATTGACAAAATGCATTCCCTAGCCTCTTACCCTAACCTTAACCATCCCAACTAAATGCCTAGTCCTAACCTTAACCTAATTCTAAACCCTCAAACAGCCCATTAAATTTGCGAGGACCATCAAAAATGTCCTCACGTCAAAATGGCCTTGATACCTGTGGATATACATGCACACACAGTTTATTCTATACCCTCACTGCCTTCTGGATCATTTGCTTAACAATGTGATGTTAATGTTGTTCTGGAACGTTTCAGTATGTACAGCTGTATGTGCCCTAAATGGAACGAGAGTCCAGAATCACTCAACTCAAATTGTCACCCAACAAGTTGTGATTGTTGTGAGAGAAAGAAATCAGACAGAAAGTCAGTTGTATGTACACCTGAACATTTGGTGTTGTAATTGAGTGTGTGTGTGTGTGTGAGCAGACAGGTTCTTCAAAACATTTCCACTAACGTAACAGTTAATTTAATGTAGAAAGGTGGGATTATAAAATGAAAGTAATGGATGAGGGTAATGTATAAATGTTTAAGAATTAATATACGTTGAAACAATGTATATTTTTGGAAGATGATTATATATGTTGCTTAACAGTGGCTCTATTATAAGGCTGCAGTCCAGTCTTTGTAAGAGTTGTGCATGCGAGACAGTGATACTGAGGGATCTGAAGTAGAGGCAGAGAAAGATGAGCGGCAGGATACACCCCTGCGGCAGAGGTGTCGTGATAAGATGATCTTCCATCCTCACCTCGCAACAGAGCTGTCAGGATGTTCAGACCCTTGATTTAACCTCCCCACTTCACTCTTACATCCTACCCACACACACACACGCACACTTTTTACAGTGTGTGCCACAATGGCATTGCTGCTTTCAAGCAATCCAGAGCAATGTCACAAAAACCTGTGCAGTATTAGAATAATCCAGTAATTAGGGCACACATAGATAGCACTATTACTGGATCAGAACAAGCCCAGTAATGCCTCCGGATGAGAGTGCTGTGTCAGCACGGACTGCATTATGCTCAACGATAGGGTATTGAAACGAATATTTCCAAATTCTCTCTGGCTTATCTCTAGGTTGTATGATGCAGGCGGAGGGCTCTGTTTTATGTTCCAACATAAGTGAATATTGCAGGGACAATAGATATGACAGCGAGTGCAGGGAGGAGTGTGGAGGTGACTGCTCTGAGCATAATGTCAGGAAGATTAACAAGAGTCGAGCAGCAAAGTGACACCTGAGAGACATTTGGCGAGTGCAATAAGCTGCAGCGCCGCACTCCACTGCACAGCAGACAGGATGGGAGGCAAGACAATAAAGAGGAATCCACACACGTACATGAGCGTGCACGCACTCACACTGGATTCTGTTTGAAAGCTGCAAGGATCAGCATGGCTGTAATGAGAGGGAATAAAGGAGGAAGCAATATGTTTTCAACATTTCTTTTACTGATCTTTACACTTGTCACAGAACATCACATAAAATTATCCGAGCAGAACTTGCTCTTTTGTTGTTTTTAATAACAGACAATGCAGTTTTACACATTCTTGTCTCAGAAACAGATATTGCTTTGTCAAATCCTTTTATCAAAAAAAAAAAAAAAAAAGAAACAGATAATCACAGGTTTTAGAGAGTTAAAATTAAATAGGCTGATACTCATACTCGTCCTGTTCTAGTGTCACTGATGCTTGTAGGGATGTCAGTATTGAAAAAAAAGAGACGATCCACCATGTAAATCAACTGAGACCATCCACATTACTTTTGTCTTAAGAGACATCACAAAAAGTAAAGTAAAAATGAATAAATAAAAAAAACATCACTTCTGACTGATATATTTCTCCATTTTTAACTACTTTGGTTTGTCATCAGTGTGAGGACCCTAATCTTCAGAAGTGCCAAACAAGAGGGAGGCCATCAAACAAGAAACCACTAATCAGAACGTCTCACTAATGCAGACATGTGATTGCTTATTCTTTTAATCAAGTTCAGCATTTTAGGAAATATGTTAATTTGCTCACTTGCCAGATCAATATCCGTAAATATGAAGCTGGAGGGAGGAGACCTAGCCTTAGCTTAGCATAAAAACTGTAAACATGATGGAACAGCCAGCCTGCTTAAACAATCCCCTTACATAGACACCTCTAAAACTCGCTAGTGAGCATGTTCTTTGTTGTTTACCTAACTTGCACAACAACAGGAGTGTTACCTGACCTAATATTTTATTATCTTCATGCTAAGCTAAGTCTCCATGCTAAGCTTTGTTAATCATCTCTAGACATTGGCTTCATAATTAGTCATGTACAGATATAAAAGGGGTCATCTAACGCTTGGCAAGAAAGGAATTAAGCATATTTTCCAAAAAGTCAATGACTTGTTGCTGAATGAAGTTGCTGAATGCAGCAATTTTTGAAATCAGCTACCTGTGCAACCAGGCTTTGGGTGATATATATGATGCTTACTATTGTAAGACAACATTAGGTAGATCTCTAGCCGCTAGCTATTGATAAATGTTTGCATTGATCGAGAGTAGAGTGTTTCTTGCTTGATGATGAAATATTTGTTTGTCTGAATCTCTTAAATAAATGATTGGGTGGGAAAAGCAAAACCAACAGAGGTGACATTTTATTTACAGTATCTAATTATATGTTCTTATTTAAATGAGCTATATGTAAGTCTTTGCTACCGCTACATAGCCAACATTAGCCTTAACAGCTGTTTACTTAATATTCTAGAAGAAACATTTGGGAGGTCAGCCTCAAACTTTGTTCTTTTAACTAACAAAGAGCCTCCAGGGGAAGAGAGCAATGTCAATGCTAACTCTTGTTCTGCTTCTATTTCTATCACTTCTTTAATTCTACCAAAGTTAGAATGCTAACAATTTAGCTTGGCTCGTCTCTTTCCAATAGCAAGCCACTGTAGTGGTCAGTCTGCCCTCAAGAAGCAGTGCTGCTCTGAGGTCGTATAATCTCTTTGAAAAGTAAAAAATCGCTGAAGCTCTTCGAAGACAACCACTCACTCCCAGCAAGAGAAAACTTACATATAGCACGTTTAAATCTTTGAAATCAAACCCTGTCTGATGTTTTTGGATTCAAATTGTTTTAGTAAATGCTCATCGACCGAACCATAACAAGCCTTTTCTGCATAAAAACAAACGTGAATGAGGTTTTGAACAAAAGTATCTTTTCAAGGTTTTGGCAACTGACCTTGAAGGTTGGCTTTACATTTGTGCATTGTCAAGACAGGCAGTGTTAGAAAACATGCATTTTGTATTTAAAACAAACAGAACACATTTTGGGTGAGGAAATTTAGTCAGATTTAAAACTTTAACCTTTGAACAACATTTGAAAGAATCCCTGCATTTAACTACATGCCCGGTTTTAGTCAAACACATTTGGAATGCAAGAAAGCTACTTAGTAACAAGAACAATTACATTAACACAATACACATGTATCTATAAAAACACTAAGGCACTTGAAATTGTGGTTTAACATTTCCAAACAATGTTTATGATTGTTGTCTCGTAAAATAATTTGAAGAACACACTTTGTGCCCGCGCCGCAGCACAGTCACTTGCCATTGCCTGAGACAGCATCAAAATCAACAGGCACACATACTCAGGTGTAACCCGTGTTTCATAATGAAAAGAATAGCTTAAACTCAAGTTTAAAAATGCTACATCATATCTTGCAAACACACACGTACAGAAGCACACACACTATCCATATCCCTTCTTTTGATAGGCTTGTTTAGGGTCCTGAAATGACCGTTGCACCAATATAAAGCCCCATTTGAGACTTGAAGTGTTGTGCTGTGGGGCTTGAAAATGGTCTTGTAGACAGTGCAATAGCAAGCTTCACTTCACCTTTAGGATGTCAGGTCCCACCTATGTGACCTTAGCCTTTGTACTTGCTAGAGAAATGTTTCCAGTGCTAAGATAGGCCAAATATTTTTAACTTTTCATCTGACCATAACACTAGCAATATAGTTGAATTGAGCTTGTCTGTGTGTATATGAGACCTTTACAATGAAGTTGACTTGGCATTTCAATAAGGTATGTAACTCGCACCTTCATCAGTTGCGTAATCTTCAACTAATGACAGTTGTCGTCATAATTACATCTTCATTTTAACAAATGTAGAATGTGAGTTGAATCTCAGAAAGTCCAGTCATTGTCTGTGAGCCCTGCGGTGCCAGAAGCTAACCTTGTGGAGCTCTCTTTCAGAGACCCACTGACATGGTCGCATGACCTGCTCCTCTTCTTCCTCCTCCTCCTCTTCCTCGTCCTCTTCCTCCTCCTGCTCTCCCTCCTCCTCATCTTCCACTCTATCTGTCATGCAGGTGTCTTCCTCTGTCCTTGTGTGTGCATGACCAAGCAAAGTCCTGGTCCTTTTCTGACTTGATTTGTCTTTGACAACATCAACAGAGGGCCCTGGTCTTCTTTCATCATCATCTTCTTCTTCTTCTTCCTCCTCCTCTTCCCTTTCTTCTTCTTCTTCTTCTTCATTTTCCTCCTCCTCTTCAACATCTTCATCCTCATCATCATGCTCTTCCACAGCAACTGTTAGCCCTAACTTACTATGGCTAGCTAGCTGAAAAAATGAGGAGGAGTGTGGTGTGGTCGGGCAGGTAGAGAGTGCGGCATCATACATGGAGAAGGGGAGGTGGAGGTAGTGTCCTGCAGTGGCTGCCGCTGCATAGATGCAGCAGCATGTCTGGGCACAGTCAGGGCGAAGATTACCGTGTCCTCCACGGACCATTCGGAAGCGCTTACGGAAGGGTGGTCCGGCTTGGGGTGCTAGGCAAATCCGGGTGGGTACTGCTCCGTGGATTGCTTGGTTAGCTGGGTTAGTGCCGGGAGGAAGGACGCAATGGCCAGTTGCAAATGCTGGGTTTGGGGGGAAGCACCAGTCAGTGCTCTGGAGCAGGATCTCAGCTCGCAGACGGCGAAGAAGGTTGTTAACGAGAACGGAGCGACGGAGGAAGGCCTCAGGGTCGTCAATGAATCTCATCTTCTCCAAGGAGAGACGCAGCACGTGGGCACGCTCCTCCAGGACCGGTGCCACCTAAAGGATAGTATCCCATTAGATCAATCTAACCTGATCAAATAATTAATAAAATAAATATATAAAAACAGATATTGATTCAATAAGTTTACATTTTCCAGCCAATTTTAATCAGCTTCAGTATACTATGTTGTATACAATTAACTGTCTGCTAAATCATTTGAGTGTCCACAGAGTCAGAAATTCCCACAATGGAAGAACAATATAATGTATCATTGCATGAGCATGATTGACTGCTAATAATCCCATAATGTACTTATATGAATACTCTACACTTCATGTCATTGATAACATTGATAAGTGTCTGAAACCTTAAACACACACCAGAGCAAATTCCAATATTAAATAGGGGACTTTGACTGAATATTGATTTTAGACACACTGTTCACACACAACAAACAATCTTTCACATCATTTTCTAGTGACTTTCAACAATTAGTTAAAGGTCCCATATTGTACAAAGTGAGTTGTACATGTCTTTTTTGATTAGAAAGCAGTTCTAGATGTCATATAAATATTGTGAAAATATCAAAATGTTCAATCTACGGCAAACCACACACAGCCCATATTAAGCAACAGCTTTGAAATTAACTGCCTGGACTTCCATAAGGTTGTGATGTCACATCTATACAGTCAGTGCCCTAAGCATGACACACTTGTTTTTATGCCTTATTAGGATAAATGGTGTGCTCTGAAAACATAATTGTATAGTTACTTACAGTCTGGCAGTATGTCCTGAAACTGAAGGACGGCTCGTCATCATCATCAACAAACTTCCTCTTGAAGTATGCAATCCTTGACACTGAAACATGATCAGGGACTCGCCTACAGGGGGGTTCTGAAAAACAAAAAAGAAAACACAACCATAAATCCACTACACTGTGGGACTACGTTACCACAGCTTGGACATGAAATCAAACATTACTGTCTGTTTTCAAAATTTACAATTATTAGAATGCTTCAAAGTTTGACGCCAATAGGTCACAGCCCAATAAATTGTAGGTATAGAATCCATGACTCATCTGAAGTCCTGTTCTTTGAATATGTATGCAACCACAGCCTGAGCTTGTTTTGTGGAACAGTATCTGATTAAATCCAACTTAAATAAATGATAGAGTGAACATCAGTTTTCTTGTGCGTACCTTGAGTAAATTGCTCGTCAGAGCTGCATGGCGGGGCCGGGTTTGACAGGCAGGTCTTACTGCAACGCTCCGATTCCCATATGGGCTGATATGCGGAAAGTGGTGGGTCTCCTTCTTGGTCCAGGAAAGGATTCATGGACAAAACGAGGGTCATCTCTCTCCCTGACTTCGGTCTAGAAAGGAAAAAAGCAGTCACATCATTAATCAGCTCCATTTCCTATCATACAAATATTGATCTGTAGAACAGGATTCCACAGATGTGCCAACAGAATGATAAATTAAGGTTACTTTCATTTCATTGCTTTCTTCAAAATAAACACATTTATCTATAGTAATTCTGTACAAGTTTGTAAAATATTTCTCCACATTAAAATGATATTTCCTTAAACCTCACAAGCATTTTGTTACAATGTGGTAAACGTTAACAAGATGCTCATCTTTGATTCTGGCAAATACGTTGGTGTTTCGTGGAGGAGTAACCAGCTTCTGTGCAAGCTGCATGACGCATCTGAACAACAATAATGGAGAGCAGAAAAAATTGGCAGATGGCTGGCAACTCTGTGATATGTGACAAGTGGGACACAGATGGAGAGATGACACCCACCCACACCATGAATTCCCTATTGATTAGGAGGTAGGAGAGTTAGAGAGATGTTTGACACCAATTTGTTCACTGAAACGGATCCCACACATGGAAATGCACTGGGAAGCTGGGTCAACAGCATGATAATCTGGGAAGCAGAGGGGATGTGTGCTGTGCCAGTGCACAAAGCAAACAACTTGACAAACAAAATCCAATAGACACAATACTTGTTTGTTTTGAGTTCATGTTAATTTTGTCCGTTTTTAAATAACATGCATATTTAAAGCTATATCACCTTCTGTTTCAAATAAAAGTAATGCAGATAAAAACATGAGGCTGACACATGATTTGGCAGTGAGCAGTTCTCACCCGCCAACGGAGCTTTTTTCAATCTGAACACAGAGCCCTACTGTGAAGACGCTGAGGGGCCTAAGAGCCAAAGTCTGTCTGTGACTCTCTAAATCCACAGTGAGAAACTGTATCGTCCTTTTGATCACAGCGGAATGGCTGTCATTTGGTGCGTTGTTGTTTCCTCCCCTTCATTCAGAATGCAAAGCCAGCTGTTTGAAGCATTAGCGTCTGGACCACCTCCTCGAAGCGCCTCCTGCCCCTCCTCAACGTGCCCGCATCAATAGACGTCATCGCCCACAACCCATCTTGACAGACCAAACTGGGGCGGCACCATTTCATCCTTACCCCCGTTGGGTTGCTGATTGAAATGTCCGCTTCAATAAGCTCTGTGCTTTGCCTGGATGAATAGTTTTATTTCCATGTGCTGCTTTTCAACTGTTTTCTTTTAACAGAAACCACAGAAACATCACCCCAGACTGGGCTGCTCTTACCAAACCTATCCACCAGCAATGAGGAGCGATAGATTATAGCTTCACATTTTATATTTTTGAAGAATTTTTTGGACTTAAGATCTACAATCAACTCCAACTGCCCAGTAGTATTTATGCGTCATCAATCTGTCTATTTTGTCATTTTACACTCTATCTTGTACTCACTCATGAAAAAGAGCTAGCCTGTGATTTACCAACTTATTATAGTGAAAGGACAGTGTGGGAAGCCAGATGTCACCACTGCAATACTGACAGGTAGAACACTTTCTGTCGACCATCGGCAAGTGAAGAGACACAGCTGGTCCATCTGTTTGTATCAGAGGACTCATTAATGTCTGCACTCAAGACAACAGAGTGATTTAACAATGATAAAGACTGAAGCTTGTGGAAAGTGCAGATTACTTCACCAAGGAATTCTGTTTGAGGAAAAACTAAGAGAAGAATCCGGTTGGAGGAAGTTCTGTTTTCTTCTCACTGTCTGATAGAGCCTGCAACTCAACTACTCCAGTTTCGGTCATAATCCACTGTGTTACATCACAGATTATTCACATTTTATAGCGTGTTGTGCTAGATTCCACAGCTGAGGGCTCCCCCACCAACGACTACCAACTAGGGCCAATTATGTCACTGTTATTGAGCGCTAGTGCCATGGTTAATTAGAAACTTTGGCTTTTTTCATTTCCCCCAGAGCTACTTTTTTACCCTCAGCTATTTTCCTCTCCATCACCTCCCCTCACTGCTGCTGTTGCTGCGTTTGCTCGGGCACAAAGAAACAAGCATGCCATCACTCCCTCTGCCCTCCGCAGGGACCTCCATCTCAACAACTCCCCCTCCCTCTGTTACCGTCTCTTTCATCCCCAAGTCTCAATCTCTCTCTCTCTCACCCCCTCTGTCTCCCTTGCTGACATCCTTTCAACGGCGGTCACAGTTGACAGCTCTCTGAACCAGGGTGGTGAAGAAAAAAAACGAAACAATGAGAATACCGACGGAGCAGCTTCTCTACGTGTACGCCAATAATTCTTGTTCTTCACAGAGAAGGAGGAGGAGGGGAGACTGTGAACAAGTGTGTGTGGGTCTGTGAAAGAGGAAGAGAGAAGAGGGTTGAAATAAAAACAAGGGTTGAGGAGAGAAAAAAATCTCCTGGGGGATATCATCCCTCTCTTTCTCTATTTCTGTCTGCAACTCGCAGAAATGTGAGACTAAGTGAGAGTGAGTGTGCGCTGTGTGTATGTATATGTGTGTGTGATTGTGTTTAACAGAGTGTGTATATTGATGGGGAAAAAGAACCTGCGAGTATGTACAAGTGTATGCAAGTGTGTGAGAGAGTGTATGCGAGGCACTGCTTCACCTCTGTTCAGTCACAGCTCCTCTGGCTTAATCCCTCTTATCTTCCCTCTCTCACAGCTTCCCCACCTCTGACTGACTCTCTATCTCGCCTTCGTTTTCATTACACCCTTTGATGACGAGAAGTTAATTGCAGTGCCAGGGCACGAGACAAACCATGGGAGGGATACAGAGGGGAAGAGAATAGGAGGAGAATGGTGAGAGGGTTGGAGGGGGGAGCCGAGGGAGGGATGGAATGAGTCAGGGAAGGAAAGATAAGTGCCTTAGGAGCCTTGTCATGAGTGGAGACAGATCGCCCGCAGGGATGATTTCTGCTGCTGTGATTGACTCACTCCCTCCAGCGCTGAGATAGACAGGCGCACACACACTCAGAAATGCACAGCTTGTACTGTCCTCAAATATGTTGGAGGGGAAGTCAGCTAAGGCCATAACAGTCAACCAAGGTGTTCCTGGACGAAACTACCAATGTCTGATTCTGACTTTTCACATATACTTCAGGTGCTGTTTTATCTTTCTCAAAACAAGCTGTTATTGAAATACACAGTAGTCATTTGGGGGTAACAACATTAGCATTTAACCAAAAACATATTTTACTTTAAAAGAAAAATAGGTCCTTCTTCAAGATGAGGCAGGTCTGCAGGCATGACCTCTATGGTTGAAAATTAATCTCTGGTGGAAGTGGTGCAAATGGCATTACAAAAACAGTAACTACAAAGAACTGCATAAATACTGTGGTCTCTACACATTGTTTACATACCCTTGCAATCTCATAAAATAGGTCCCGCAAGTCTGTGAGTTACAAGTAGTTTGAAAAGTATGACATGTTCATCTTATATTTACATCTGACTGTGATCTATGGCTGAAGCAGAGTTGCACGTACACAGGTATTAAGGTCCCTCTCACAAGCAACAGATTCCAGAACAGGGCGAAAGACAAGCACTTGTGAGAGAGAGAACTGCATTGCATGCCAGTTAGGGGTATGTGCACAACTGCAGCTGAACCTGTGAGGTTTGACTGCATGTGTGGACAGTAACAACTTTATGGACCATAGCGTATGCAATAGCACGAGTGTGCAAGCGACAAACACAGTAAAAGAGCAAAACAAGTTAGAGACAAATTAGAATATGCAGAGGGGCTCAAAGACTTGATAGTTAATGGTTTGACATGTCGTGCCTTGGCAGGGGTATGCAGAGCTTTTCAGAGCGCCCTTTTAGTGTTATTTGAAAAGTTTTTTTGTTTTAAGAGTTAATCCCATCCAGAGTGCCGTATCATAGCTTGTGCATTATTTTGTGACTTATGCATATACCAGGACTATCTAGCATCTCTGGACAATACACAAATACCTTAAGGCTGTCCTTTTTTACCAAAAATTGTAAAGAATTTGAGATGACAAAGAATATACTCAAACAAATTCTCCATGCACGCAGTCAGACGAGGTTGAACACTTAATGTTTCTGTGTTCGTTTGTGGTGCCTCCTCCGTTGCTGCTAACAGCTGAGCCCACACATTTGTTGTTGGTGACGGTTAGGCAGTTGCATAGTACAAAGACGACGAACAGGATTACCATTTTCTGTTACTTTCTGCGACGTATAACCCATAACACGTTGTGACGTCCACTCATAATGGCTTTGCTTTCTAGCATCCTCCATTTTCATAGCAAAAGAATGCATGTTACTGGTTTATGTTCCTGATGGGTCAAGGGGGCATACAATAGGTCAAGCTGATAGTGAGTGACCTCTGCTGGATCACGAAGCAAAGTACTTCAGATGGTGTGGTGCTCCTTTATTAGGTTTAATTGGAGTTCAGATCAGTCATCAAATATGAACCCCCACCTTCGAATTTAGAATAAAAAGTGACGGCCCTTCTGTACATGGGTCATCATTGGGTGAGGATGCTAATATTTTGTTTAAAACCTGTTAGCTTGAGCCTCAGTCTGTTAGCATGATATTGTGTATGTCGCGATGAAGTGAATGGGTTTATTTCATCATATGAATTTTGAAATGATTAAAAGACATCTGGAAATATTAACAAGCCAGCAAGACAGTGTTTTCAACCAACTCATGTCATTAACTTTAGCTTCATAAGCTTACTAACTACGGCTAATAAAATCTGCCATTGACACTGCAGTTTCAGACTGCAAAGTCCCTGTCTGAACTCAAGGACCTATTGTTTCATATTATAATGACATCTGTTATTGTTTTCATTACAACTAGTCAGAGCTGATACCTGATGGTGCTCAAGTGTTCCTGGTCACTTTCGCTTCTCTCTCCCCCTCCTCTCCCTCCCCACTATCTCTCTCTCTTCTCTCCCCTCTTTYCCACCCATCTCCCCTCTCCTCCCCTCCTCACCGGTCGAGGCAGATGACCGGCCCCATTGAGTCTGGTTCTCATTGTGGGAACTGTTG